TTGTGGAGGGACTCTTAGTTTGATGTGTGCTAAAGAATATAAGTGTTACGACTGAAATTGGACATTAGGGGAATCTTTCACTTATGGAAGCAGTTTTACAGGGGGGTTTCTGCAGGTACTTTTAAAGATCTGCAAGTTTTACCTTGTCTCTTTACTGCTTTATGCTAATAGAATGAACTTCTGCGCAGGCATCCGGCCAAAAAAGAAAGGGAGGAAATAAAAATCAAGAAGTAAAGGGCCAGTTCCCAACCATTAGGGATAAATGTGCACCCACCCCCACCCTCCTGTCTACCTGCAGGTTGTGTCGTTCTGCAGAGAGACCTGCAGGATATTGATTTTCTTTTCAGCTTTATTTTACAAAAGTGTAAACCAGCCAACTGTAGAACATAAAGAGGCTGGTTTACTGCTGCTAGTGCCGCAGAGCTGTGGACTAGAAATGCTTCCTAAGATTCATCATTATAGGGGTGTGTTAAAGGGGGGGGGGGTATTACCTTATTACCTTTGTTTGCTGCATTAAAGCAAAATCGCCTTATTGTCAAGCTGATTAAACAAAGTGCGTGCACAGTTTTAGTTTTAGTTTAATTTTAAATCACCTGTGCATGGTTAAAAGTTTTTTCTGCAGCTGGCATGCTTTCAGGTGAACCGTTTTCTCGGTGTTGCTGCTGTCAGAGTTGATGATGATTAAAAATGTTTAATCTGGCACCCTGCTGTCACCATGGCAACAGACTTGTTAGAACACATCTTTAGCAGCATTGATCATAAGGGGGAAACTGTAGTGGAGAAACTGTACCTACATCTGTTTTTTTTTAGTTATATTACGAACACTTCTCTTTATTTTAGGCAGCCAAACCTGCTTCATTCAGCCGCATGATGATAACACAGCAGGTGGGTGGATAAAGGAGCCTGCAGCTAAAGAAAAGAGACATTGTTAGAAGAGTTGGAGAGCGGAGAGGATCCAGAAGCAGAGCTGCAACCTGCTGCTGCTGATTCAACAAGCACAACATCAATGACGCCTGATGGCAGCAGCTGCTCACAGTCTGAAAGAACCTTTATACACCTGGATGAGAGCAACAGAAGAGACCAACAAACATGTCTCTTGATAAGTTAGGGGTTTAACTTAGAGATACACTTTTAAAAGTTTTGTGTGTCTGTGTGTTTGACAGGACATAATACGTAGAGAGGAGGGTAAAGCAGTAATTCAGATTAAATATTCAACTCGTTTTAAGATAGTTTTTCTGATTATAAATACCATAATGTCATTGTCACATGGACATGTGACTTATGTTAAACTTGTGTAGAACAGATTCAATAACAATAACAAGTCTATTAGAGACTTGGGTTGTTATGAAGGTTGGATCAGATGCCTTTCATTAGCGGAGCGTAGTGGGCGAGAGGGAGTGTAGACCTGGATGAGAGAGTTTAGGTAAGGAGGAGTCGTTTTTGTCACCGCTTTGTAAGCGAGCAGCAGTTTTAAATTTGATGTAAGCAGAAACTTTGTTGCTTTGTCAGTGTAAGCCAACAATCAAAGATGTGCCATGCTGGTACAAATGATAAGTTTCTGACAGTATATAATTATGTTTCAGACATAATCTAATAAGATCATGGGTAATTGCTTGACTGAAATATTATTGATTTACTGTTTAGTATTACAAATATGGCTCATCATGTTCCAACTGTCACTTGTTACATCAAACAGCATCCACAACTTATTTTCTCCATTCAAACGTTATATATGGGGCGCGGGCAGCCTCGCAGTAATTGACGAGCACCTCATACAACCTTAAAAATACCGAACTATCCCTTTAGTTTGATTGCAGAGTGCATTATAGTACATATATGCAGTTTGTGTAAAATGTGTTTCTGTACAATTTTGTTTTGAATTCTAAAAAAAAATTCTAATCCTCCTCACAGCCCTGATGATACAGTAGACTATTTTTTCACTCAAATTGAAGCTTTCACAGAAAACCAAATATCTGCAAATTACGGCTCCACTCTATTCTTTTACCCAGTCACATTTTCACAGATTGTTTTGTCCTGTGCTGTATAATTTCTCCTCATGTGCCCAGAGCAGAGGGAGATAAAGACTGTATCAACTCTACCTAGCGGTGCTGGACGGCTCGCCTCCTGTGTTTGTGGATTAGCAGCTGCTGCAGACAGATCCAGCAGAGAGGAAGTGTTTATGGAGGGTTCCTATGAATGAAGCGGGTGAAACGAGGAGAAAACAAGCAGCCTCTTTAATGCAAATGTGACTAATGCATGACGGGTCTAAACCCGAGGCAGACGGGGAGGAGGAGCTTTATAAATAGAGGCACGCAGGAAATATGATGACAAATATTTGGTCCCAACAAGCGTCTTCTTCCCTTCAGCTTCCTGTTTGATTTGTGAGGCCACCGCAGGGGACCAATCTGAGCAGTGCAGGTGCTCGAATTAAGATGACATGACACTTTATCAACTCTCACAGCTCCTCCTGCACACCGGTGATAACACGAACATGATCCACTGGAGAACCAGGAGAATCTTCACTAGAAAAATTACCACTTCTCTGTTCAGTATTTTCATTATTAGGGATCATAACAATGTGATTTTTGCTGTCCAGACGTACACAACGAACTGCTCCAGTCAGGATTTATCAGATGGAAACTCAGAAAAGTTCACCAACACCCCTGTTGGCGAGTAACAACATCGTTCTCGATATGGTTCCCCGAGTGTGTAAGAGGTTTTCATTAGTAACACTGCAGCCACTGCCAGGAGGAACCAGAGCATCTGCTGCACTCAGACGTCCTCCTCCGATACAGGAACACACCACAATCTCACCCACAGCAGCAGGGCGCTTACACGAGTCAGCTTCTTCTGATGTTTGACTAAGACCATCTCATTCTTCTTCTTCTTCTGCGTCTGCAGCGACAAACAAAAGCTGGAAAACGACAGAGACAAAAGTGATCCTCAGTGGGATCCTCGCCTCCATCTGTGTCTGCTGCTGCAATCTCACAGGAGCATGAAATGCACCATGGGACGTTTCATTTAGCTCACCACCTCCTCCTGTGTTCAAACTGCGCCCCATTTATGCTAAACACAAGAGGATGGAACTCTTTAGTCCAACAAATAAGCTTCTTGTTTTTAATTGCCTCATGAAAGTCACAGCAGCAGTGCCACAGGCCTGACAGTCGACGTGTGAAGGAAAGACACACACAATGGCCTTAAATTGAAATACTGCTTCTGGCTGAAGACGTTTTCTTGGAGAAATGCCTGAACTTTTTTGTTTTCTTCACATCGATGACAGGCAGCATAGCATCAACATCGCTCTATTCAAATACATCAGACTCCACTGACAAAAACAGGAGCAATACAGAAGTTATTGTTTGACTGCTAGCCCCATTGATTAGTTATTTTATTATAATAGATCCAAGAAACCATTTAAAACACACCCTCACACACACACACACACACACACACTCACTTTGTTTACTTGTTGTCTGACAGATCTGACAATAAATTCACACTTGCACTACATTTATCATGATGTAGTAGCCTCCTTTCAGTCTGTTTATTGTAATTAAATCTCATTAAAATATGTTTATTTTTATTTATTTCATTTGGGTTCAGTGCTGAAGTACGACAGATTTCAGCTGACAGCTGAGATAGAAGGAAAGAACAGAAGTCAGTGTCCATCAGAGGAATCCTGATATTTGGCTGTGTTTGATGTGAAATTGACGTTTTAACAGGAGCACAATAAAAAGGAACTCCTGTTCTGTGAGGTAAAATTTCTGTTTTTGTCTGTAATATAAAATAAAGTGTCTGGTTTTAAAATGAGATCACCTTCCTCTGTAGCAAAAATGTCTCTCTCTGTAAGGATCCTTTCTGTAATGTTGTCAGACATTAAGGGTGCATTCACACGTAAGCCGTTGGTCCGTTTGAAACGAACTCTGGTGCTTTCTGTCTGATAGTCCTTTTGGTTTGTGGTGGTGTGACTATTCAAACAAACTCTGGGGATCTCAGTTCATTTCCAAGTACATCAGAGTTCAGTTTGGCGTAGGTGAGAATGCATTCCGGACCAAACAAGGGAAGTGGACCAAAAAGAAGTGCATTGTGGGTTTAAATTTGCCGTTTGTAAACCATGTCAAACAGTTTTGCAGATTGGGTTAACATTAGCATCACTAACAACACCAGCCTTCAGTCCTCCTTGCAGGTTAACGTGCTGATGCCTGTGCTAAGTGTGGTTACACATCTCTGCGGTCGATATGCCACTTTAACCTGACACAGACTACATACATGTATAACTGTATCTCCATTTTGTTGATCAAAATACTACCCAACTGCACCGCACTAGGGGATGCCATTCTTCCACTGTCCTGTTGTTTTGGGTCATAGTGATTAATTGCCCCACTGACCGAAGCTACGGCCCTAAGTGGTCAATGGCCACAGTACACAACATTTAACAGGCTTTGGTGAGCTTGACACAGTGTAGTGTGAAAGCAAACTGAACCAAATGAAAAATCCAACACTGTTACAACCGCAACCCAGAACTGAATCCACCGGATGTCATATGTCAAAGCAACCAATAACAACAACATTTAGAGGACAGACTTTGATCAGGTGCTTGGATCACATTGCAGCCATTACAGCCTGTTTCATGGCTGATGAACCTGTTGGTCATTTAGAGCCCATCCTATACAGTAAAAGACTTTACAACATAATGCCGCAAAGTTATCTCTGCAGTATTTCACACAGTGTACTAAAACTCAATAATTCTCTTTCTTCTTCTCTGGCTTTCACTCTCTTTTCTTCTCCATCTTCTTCAGCTTTGTGGAGTGGAAAAGCACACAGGTGGGATAAATACACCTGTTTCTGCTCCGTCAGTCAGCGTGCTATCAACATTTACTTCATGCTCAGGTTCAACAAAGGGTGAACTGAAACTAATCCTGTGGGTGTGTCACACCCCTCAGAAGAGCAACACACAAACACACACAATCACAGACGAAACACAGCTCTCAGGTTTTTACCTGCGAAGGCCGGCCTCATGGTGAAGTCGTGCTCGTCGATGCGCAGGAGGTGACTGGTCTTCAGCTTTTTGGTTTTAGTTCCATCTGATACCTTCTTGGACAGAGGGCTGCAGGCAGACAACAGAGAGGACAGGTTTTAACCCTTTCATGCATGAAGTATGAAATAAAAGAGCAATACTTTATTTTTTAATGTTACTTTCTACTTCTTGGGACTTGCAAAGTCACGTCACTTTGATCTATTTTTAATATTTGTAATTTCTAAGATGTTACAGAAGTGTTGAGTGGACATCAACGCTTTTATTCAAAAGATCTTTCATGCACAAAGTAAATATGAACACATTTTCAATTTGTTACACATTCAGGGTCCATTGAGGGGTTCCTTTTGAGATCTTGAATTGGAGTTTTAAATATTTCCTGACTTATTTAAGAAAAACATGCCTTGATAAAGATTTATTTGATGACTTTTTATATCTTTATATAAAGATATTCAGTAGAGAGACAGCATAGAGCTGGAAATGGGAGACAGAAAGCAAGTGAGTAATGAGTAATGAGCCACAAGTCAGATTTGAACCTGCGCCACTCGCTTTTAAGACAACAGCCTCTGGGGGCTCACAAACTAACCAGCAGCAACAGACAAAAAGAAAGCTCTGTCGGTTCAAACTAACTCCTTACTAACGCCAAATGTTTGCCTGAAGGCTGCAGGAACAGCACAACAGCAGACAGTTATGATGAGAGCAAATATTATGGGAAAGCGAGGATTTGAATCCAGACTTTTTTTCATAGAAATACATTGACTGAAACCAGCGTGAGGCTTTAAGTCACAAAATGGATTGTTGTTGTTTCTAACAAAACCAATTAATAATAGCAACCATTCCAGGTACTTTGTCCAAACTATGGCCCCTCCCCTTTCCAGGTGAAAACACTTAAAATCTAAAATGAATGGGGGTTAATGTAAAAGATTATCTTTAGTGACTAACAACACAAATAAGACTAACAACACAGGTGAGACTAACAACACAGGTGAGACTAACGACACAGGTGAGACTAATGACACAGGTGAGACTAACGACACAGGTGAGACTAATGACACAGGTGAGACTAACGACACAGGTGAGACTAGGAGACTTAGGACACAGGTGAGACTAACAACACAAGTGAGACTAACAACACAGGTGAGACTAACAACACAAGTGAGACTAACAACACAGGTGAGACTAACAACACAAGTGAGACTAACAACACAGGTGAGACTAACGACACAGGTGAGACTAAGAGACTTAGGACACAGGTGAGACTAACAACACAAGTGAGACTAACGACACAGGTGAGACTAAGAGACTTAGGACACAGGTGAGACTAATGACACAGGTGAGACTAAGAGAGTTAGGACACAGGTGAGACTAACGACACAGGTGAGACTAACGACACAGGTGAGACTAATGACACAGGTGAGACTAATGACACAGGTGAAACTAACGACACAAGTAAGACTAAGAGATTTAGGACACAGGTGAGACTAATGACACAGGTGAGACTAATGACACAGGTGAGACTAAGGACACAGGTGAGACTAACGACACAGGTGAGACTAACGATACAGGTGAGACTAATGACACAGGTGAGACTAACGACACAAGTGAGACTAACGACACAGGTGAGACTAACAACACAAGTGAGACTAAGAGAGTTAGGACACAGGTGAGACAAACGACACAGGTGGGACTAATGACACAGGTGAGACTAACGACACAAGTAAGACTAAGAGACTTAGGACACAGGTGAGACTAACGACACAGGTGAGACAAACGACACAAGTGAGACTAACAACACAGGTGAGACTAACAACACAGGTGAGACTAAGAGACTTAGGACACAGGTGTTACTAATGACACAGGAGTGACTAACAACACAGGTGAGACTAACAACACAGGTGAGACTAATGACACAGGTGTTACTAACGACACAGGTGTTACTAATGACACAGGAGTTACTAATGACACAGGAGTGACTAACGACACAGGTGAGACTAACAACACAGGTGAGACTAAGAGACTTAGGACACAGGTGAGACTAAGAGACTTAGGACACGGTGAGACTAACAACACAGGTGTGACTAACAACACAGGTGTTACTAACGACACAGGTGGACTAACGACACAGGTGAGACTAAGAGACTTAGGACACGGTGAGACTAACAACACAGGTGATACTAACAACACAGGTGTTACTAACGACACAGGTGGGACTAACGACACAGGTGAGACTAAGAGACTTAGGACACAGGTGAGACTAACTACACAGGTGAGACTTACAACACAGGTGTGACTAACGACACAGATGAGACTAATGACACAGGTGAGACTAAAGACACAGGTGAGACTAACAACACAGGTGAGACTTACAACACAGGTGTGACTAACGACACAGGTAAAGACAATCAAGCCATCATTATGGAAGCTAACCAGAAAAAGGGAGGAAGTGAGACAAGAAACACTGGTGACAAGTACTACAAAATAGGAAACACTGTAGACAGAGAACTCAAGAATGTAATAGTGACAATACACACAGGAAGTACAGAAACACCAGGATAAGAAATTACAAAATAAAACAGGAAACACTAAAGACTAAACTAGGAAACATTAAATTAAATAATTATGAAAGGAAAAAAAAGCAACACCAGGGAAGAAAGACAAACTAAAACAAGACAGGAAATCTAAACTGAAAATATAAAAAAACAAATCATGACACATAGCTGCTAGCCTATCTGGCATCCCTCAATACCTGTACATTTTACAGTTATAATAATGCTCATTAGTTGATGTCACCTGCAGGGGTCAGGTAGAATAGCAGGATTTTCAAGGTATTGTTGAGCTGCACTGCATTTGTGACCTTCTGTCGGCCATTTTGATTTTGGAGACATGTCAGGTACACTTACTACTTCTGGCCATTAGGTGGCAATGTATGGGATGACTTACTAACGTCCACTCGTGATGTTGAGAAACCATTCCATCCATATTTAGGAGAAAACAGCTCTTGAATATATTTCCTCTGTAGTGACCCGTAGACATGAAATGTTAAAATAGCATCAAAGATTTGATCCCAAAGTTGAAAACTTCTGTTATTCTGTTTGTGGTCTTTCAATACTCTCCACAACGCCAACCAAACTGCCAGAGAACAACATTCAAACTTGATGATTATAAACTCTGTGAACAAGTCACTTTCTTTTTGGTTACAACAGAAAAATTATTGTTGAAGTTAAACAGCGCAAACACCTGCTTTAAAAAAAAGGACAGATTTTAGTAATGTGAGTTTATTTATGGGAGAAAAAAGGGCAACTTAGAGGCAGAACAGCAAAACACATTGGATACAAGAATAGCTGATTTATGAGCTGTGGTGCCTCCTAACATACAGAAAATGAGTCAGCAAACTTCAGTAGATGGAGCACAGAACTTATCCATAAAGAGAAAAGCTAAATGCACAGGCATAAAACTTCACAAAAATAAAAGGAGTGCGGGCGAATTTTCTAACAAACAACACGCCGATTTGCCTTTTAATTGAGAACGTTATTGACATCCTTATCAGGAAGTATTGCAACCATCTGATGTGTTATTGCTCATTTGTTTTTATGTCTTCAGCTTATCCAATCAGAGGAAAATAAAAATAAACAAAGGTTGAGACAACAAGCACAACTAATGATCTATTCTTCCACAGGTAAAACATCAGCACAATCTGTAACCTTTTATCAGCAGTGTGAGCCCGATGAGGATATTGAGTGGTGAGTGACAATGGAGCAAAAATGGCAAGCATTTCTTTGATATAGTTAAATTATATCTGCACTCCTCAACCCTCTAAGTGTACCTTTTTGAAAAACAAATACAGACTTCTGCAGGGAGAGCCAGAGAGAGAAAGAGAGAGAGAGAGGGAGAGAGAGACAGAGAGAGAAAGAGAGAGAGAGAGGGAGAGAAGAGAGAGAGAGAGGGAGAGAGAGAGACAGAGAGAGAAAGAGAGAGAGAGAGAGGAGAGAGAGAGACAGAGAGAGAAAGAGAGAGAGAGAGAGGAGAGAGAGAGACAGAGAGAAAGAGAGAGAGAGAGGGAGAGAGAGAAAGAGAGAGAGAGAGAGAGACAGGTATCTCCTGTCATTTACGTAGGAAATCAAGCTGCAACCTCTGGTGTTGGAAATCAAGCCAACGCAAAAGTACAATAAAACCTGCAGTTCCTCGAGTGCCCACTTGAGGCTGGCTCTATTAGCCAGATAATCCCTGTTAGTTCCCTTATTAAAATGTCAATTTTTACAGCAGCAATAAACATGTTTACAGCCTGGTATGAAAATGTCTCTAAAGCTCATTTCTATGTGTGTACACACTGTACAGGGGTAAATTTTGTATTAATCATCCGTTTTGAATTCATTAAGGTTAAGAGTTATGCAGATTAGTCATGTGACATAATAAGGCTGATTTAACCAACGTTGTGCATTGTAGCAATAAGCCAGAAGGCTCTGCCTCACTTTGTTTAAACCCTGACTCGACTTCTGTCAGCTTTGTATTGTTTCCAACGTTTGGCATATGCTAGCTGGATAACAAGTTCCACCTATTTGCTAGGTGGAGTTAGGTGGAGTCAGCGTTTCCAATGTGGCGACCACCATTGTTCAGCTTCATAACTCCTCAACAGACGTCACTGAGCCTGGCGACTTGTTTCCACTTATTGTACTGTATATGACTGGTGTCGGCAGATCTGTAGAATAGATGATGCATCCTAGTGTCCAACGCAAGGAAATGCATCTCTTTATGGACGGATAGAAACCTGATATTAACTACCTGTAGCCGTGGGGAAGGGGCTAATCGAAGAAACTAGCCTGTTAGCTAGTTAGCAGCATGTTAGCTCAATTAATTAATTTAATGTATTTTAGGCACATTTTGGCTAAAATATTACAGAGGGGAGGAGTTTTGCAGGCACATCTGATATCACAGAGAATTCCACAGTAATAAGTGGACTACTACGACGATGAGTTGTAGTACAGTCACAGGATGTATTGGTTTTCTGTTTTGAAGTGTAACTTCTCGGCCCTGACACAGGACTTGCGAGGCGACCACACAGTCAGCCGTTATAAGAGTTAATTCTCTGATGTATGTTTGGTGTGTGTGGGACACAGCAGTCTCTGATTGTACAGCGAGGTGGTCAGCGTGGATGGATGAGTCCACAAACAACACTAGAGGCCGCTGTTTCTTACCAAAAGTCAAGTCTCATTAAAAGATGAATGGTTGGATGATATTATCAGAGTTCTTGATAATATGAAGACGTCATGGTCAGAAAACACAGAGCTCCACAAAAAGCTGCTGATTGTCGCTCTCTGTATTATGTCTCTCAGGAATAAACAGTTCCCTGCTTTCTTCATTGACAATTTGAGTGACTGGTGCAGAATCATACAACATTATTCTGATGAAACATGTTGTGATTTTCTGAAACAAGCCAACATGAAAATGCAAATCTTTAAAAACATCTCATAGTGTCTCCTTTTTGATCAACGTTGTTTCTATCAAAGTCTGATGAGGACCAATCCCAGCAGCAGAAGAGCAGCACGTGTATGTATGTATGTTTGTATGTTTGTATGTATGTAGAAATTAGGTATCAGAGGTTTGGATAATAAATTACAAAAACATTTCTAAGCATAAAATTAGATTTTTATCTTGTCGTCTGCTTTTTTTTTTTGCTTTGCTCCTCCTAAGACAAACTGAGCAGCTGGCGTTGAACAGGTTGAATGATTTCTCTCTCTCTCTGATTTTTATTAAAGGTGATGGATGTTCTGCAGATTTAGACAACAGGAAATCCATCTTGAAAGCAGCTGCTTCTGCAGGACGTATAAGATTCTGCTCAGAACTTTTTTGCTGTATTTTCTGTGATCAGTCTTGAATTGTGATTTTAGCAACTAAAAATAGAATATTCAGTCCTCTTTTTTTGTCCTCTGTAAAACTGTTATTCTGGTATGAGACGCAATCTGAAAAGGTCGACTTATTTTTTTCTGAAAGTGTAAGAGCAAATAAAAAAAGATTACAAAATAAAGTTGATTTAACAATAAGATGCTCTATTTTTTTTAATGGCTCAAAGCAGAGCCTGTTAGATCGTCCAAAATCCACTTTTTTCCTGCAGAATAAATCCATGCTACATAATGAGAAATGAAGTAAAGCTGCTGCAGAGTTTGATCCTGTTTGAAGTCTGACTGTCAGTGAGGAGAAAACAGCCACACATCAGGATTAAAGGGAAGAATTGGCCTCTCTGAGAGTCTTCATAAAGAATTCACCTGAAATAACATTATTCACTGTGTTCTTGCAGGGAGGGACTTTCTCCTCCGATGTAAACACAAACACAAGTTTTCTGGAGGACGATGGGTCAGTGTCTGCGCTCTGATCGGTTCATGCACAAAATAAAAACCAAATGCCGCAACTTTACCCATATATTTAGAAGGTAAAGTGATGTGAAAGGGTTCAGAGTATGCCAGGATTGGAAGTAAATGTTGAGATTCTGATTATTCTTGGTAATGAAGAGGAGAGAACACTCTGTGTTCGTTGGTCTGTTGCACACAGTTGTGCGTAAATTTAAGCTCTCAGAGTAACGATAAAGAAAGAGCCAGGGATTTTCCTGTTGAGTGTGTCCCATGGTGACTTTGGATGGCCATGTACATCTCTTAAAGAAAGCTTAATAAATAAAGATATTACAAATCAAAGGTTTTCGCTACTTACGTCCCGGGTTTGTGCGTCTCCGCCGGCGCAGACCAGCGCTTTTTCCTACTTCTGTGTTTCCTGCACTCCCCGATCAGGACCAGGCACAGGATCAGGAGCACAAACCTTGCGTAACAGGGCATAATAATAAGTTTAAAAGTCCCGCAGCGAGTTGATCAGTGCCGCTCTGGGTGTGTGTACGGTACGCTCGGTGCGCGGAAACATCGTCTTGTCAGCGGCGGCAGGAGAAGGAATGCAGGGAGTCCGGGAACTGTGTTGGAGGAAGAGAAGAGTCAGAGAGGAGGAAGAGAGAGAGAGAACGACGGGATGCTGAAGTCTGATCCGCGCTCTGATTGGTCTTCAGACTCTGGAGTGTTTTTTTTTCTCTGCGCAGCATCAGCACCAAATGAAGCCGCGCGCGCTGCAGAAAACAGAAACACGACGACGTCCCCTCTGAGGAGCCGATCCGAGGCAAAGACATGAGGAGAGTAGGACGTTTTTTCTCAGAGGAAAGAGAACAAGCTGTCCCATATTCCCTGTACTTTATTATTTTTTATGACAATATACAGAAAGAAAAAAAAATCAGGAAACAAGAACAGGAGTTCTGATTTGATGCAAAATCTGCTTGGAAAATGTTTTAAAATGCCATGCAAAAATGTCTCATGTTTCTCTGATTTAATTCTCCATGAGTGCACGGTTCTATTTGCATTTCTTGCAGCGTTGGACATTATTTAATTATTTCTAACACTTTTGCAGTGTGGGACATGTGTGAGGGCATCCTCTCTCTCTGAGATAATATGCTGATGTTCACATCTGTCTCACTCAGGACTCTCTAACCTTCAGTCAGTTAAAGGATGGTAAATCACTTTAGAAACCAAACAAGATATGATAGGCTACTTCATGTAGTATTCTAATATCTGTCCTTAGATTCAGCTCAGTCAGGATTAATTTATTATACAGATGCATCGATCCACTTTTTCAGTCCGATCAGTTTATGATATATGTACTGATATTTTAACCATAATAAACATTGATATAGTTGTTGGTATTATGTGTAAGGCTACATAAAGTTGAAGTAAATTTAGCAAAAAATAATCAAAACATATAAAAATAAAAATGATTCCAAAGAAATGGAATCATTTTTATTTCTGAACTTTGTGCTGACTTCACATACAAACAGGAAGCAACAACAACTGAAGGTTTTCAAATTAAATGTGTTAACTGAAGAGTAAGAATTGTAGTTTTTTTTGACATAGAAGGAGCTGTTTCATCTCGTCTGAATGTCCTGATTTGAGGGTGCTTCATGCAGTTCCATCTGAATGTCTTTACAGCTAAACTTTGTCTTTAAAGGTGACGTGGATCAAGTCTGTCAGTTCAACAACGATATGTAAATTACACCAATATCCGACCTGATACGGATAATTGATTAGAATCCCTAATATTTTTCATACATTTTCCAATATTAGCCAAATCCCTGCCCCATCTTTTTTGACCCATAATGAGTTTGGACAATCAAAATATTTTTATTTTAAACTAGATATTCTATTATTGTATCCATACAGCTCCATTTAAAGATCATATCAGAGTTTACAATATTTATTTGAAAGGACAATGTCAGATATTTATCCAAATGGTAACATTCTTGCTGAGAAATTAAGTGCCAAAAACTGCAGTTCCTTTAGGGTCCACTTGAGGCTGTCTCCAGAAGTGACTCAATCCCCATAAAGCCCCATGTTACACTTTACATTTTTACAGCCTGGTAGAAAAAACAGTTTTGTGTCTGCAGCTCATTTCTCTCTTCATGACTTCTGCGCATGCTGAATATTTACACAACTCACCTGTGTACATTATATTAAGGCTTAAAGTGATGTAGAATTAGGGGCGTGGCCTCTTTGAGTGACAGGTGGGAGCTGCCTGTGTAACCTAAGCTAATTTAGTCACTGAACTTAACATCCAGGCCATGTCTGTGCTGTTGGTGGGATTTTTGAGGAAAAAAAAGGACAAATAGTCGGTCTTTTTGTGTGATAACATAACTACATATAATATAATTTAAACAGATGATTTATATGAAAATCCATTATCCACTTATCGTTGTCATGATTGAAAAATGACCCCTATAGTTTTTATGTACCAGGCTGTAAACACATTTATTTCTGCTGTAAAGTTTGGTATTTAACATGTGTCTCTATGACAGTTGACTCACTTTTGGAGACAGCCTCAAGTGGACACTCGGGGAACTGCAGTTTTTATCAATTCTGCATTTGCTTCATTTTTTGTAGATTGTTTAGCGTAGATAACTAATAAAGAACCTTGCTATGTTTAATACACCTTTACCATTGAATGTCCATGAATCATACACAGTGGTCCTTTCAAAGTAAAAGACAGGCTACATATTCCCTTGTTGGTTATGGAGGCAGAACAAGACCTTATGAAATCTGACACGGAACAAACAGAGTTTCATTCAGGCGATTTATTTTCTGTTTATATCCCGTACACCAGCCGAGAGCAGAATCATTGTAGAGACAGAAACTGTGCTGCCTTCAAGTCAAACCTGAACATGTGCAGGTGTAAGATGTTGCTCCAAATGCAGAAAAACAACAGAGACAGATTTGTTCCCCTCAATAGGTCGATTGCTACGAGCACCTCTGAGATATTTTTCCATGCTGCCGAGTTCTGTTCGTGTCAGAAAGCCGTCAGTTATGAGGAGCAAAGAGTGAATGTAAATTACCTCCCAGTTTCTCCGAGTCTCATCAGAGCGATAAACCCTCCTCAGAGTGTATCAAAGAGGGTAAACGGCAGACAGTGTGCGGGTCTATTTATACGGGGAAAATTAGTGTTTGCGGTCGGCTTCAGAAAATGCAAGACAAACAAGAGACTAATGCACAGAGACGTGGAGTGAACACCATCAAACATCAAGACTGTCACAAACCAGAGGGATAAAGCGTCCACAGAAAAATGACTTCCTGTTTCAAATTAAATTTAAAAAATCTGTTGGATGTTTTAAAAAAAAAAAGCCACAGTTGTGTTGAAGGAACACAGACTGATAACTGAACCTGCTGCAGATCAGACTCGTGGTAACTGGTGAAAATAGTCTTATAAATTATCTCACCAGTAAACGTTTCCATGGTGATAACAGCTCAAAGCACTCTGCCCTCCTGTGCTCTTCAGAAAACCATAGTTTTATTTGGCAGAGCTATTCCCTTCACAGAATTGTCTTTGGATTTTTTTGTTGTTGCTCCAAAAGTCTTTTCTTGACCTTCAAATGCTTTCCTGTAGTTTAAACGTTGTTTTCAGTGCAGCTGGAGTTTTAAATTTAAGGGTAGTTTTTTTTTTTCTTACATCCAGGCCCTGCATAATTTGGCATATTATTGACAGTAAGGATCAAAAGGTTGATGGCAAACACTCCGACTCGCCCTCTGGTTGGCTAAAGCCTGGCTCACACTGCAGGATTATCGGGTCCGATTCTTCCTTCCTGACAACCGCAGGGTCGCTCAAGACTCAAGGCTGCTCTGAACCGATTATCTGCTCAGATTCTCTTGTAGTGCGAGTCGTACAAGGATCCTATTTTAACATCCCCGATCTGCTCGGTGAATGTCGGGAACGCCTCGATTTATTTCAAACAGGTTCGATATTTAGAGTGTTACAATTACGTCATGAAAGCGTCTGACAGAAGTCGAGTATGACTGCAGTCACCAAGAGACGAGGGAGGACAGTAATAAGTGTTACGGTGACCGGCGGCAAAATGGCAACCTGAACGGGGGCGCTGAACAACTGCATGCTCGTAGTTACAATCTGAATATACAACACATGTTGTCGGCGTCTCCCCAGACATGTATGTGTTTACCTCTGCACAAAGCATTATAATTGCAAATTTAACTGCCTGCTCCATTGTTTATGTGAGGTGGTGCGTTCCTCTGTCGGGCACCATAATCTTAAGTCAATCCTGTAGTCTGTGATGCGCCAAGATTTTTATATCTTGTAGTGGGAGCGTGTTTGAGATCATGGAGAAGAATATCTGTTAGGATTCTGTTAAGAGAGAAGTGTGTGATGCTACTGGATTTTAAAACTCCTGCAGTGTGAGCCAGGCTTTACCCTGATATTCTTACTAAACCAACCAAAAAAAGGCAACAGTGTTTACTGGCCAATAGGAGACAGAGTAGGGGGTAGAGAGGTATCATCCCTTTGTGATCCTAGGAAGAAAAATTGCAGCATACTTTGGAATATTGTGAATCAGAGTGGATTTAGAAACGGGGATCTATGGAGACTGGAAAACAAGTGGGTACAGTACACCCTGTATAACCTGCACTACACTACTGGGTAACAGGTACTAATGTCTCTTGAAGGTGAGCATTGTGTATCTTTTTTTAATTGTTAGTTCAAAGCTGGGAATTACACACACATTAAAACACACAGTTTATGTTTCTGGCATAAAAATAGGATTAAATATTTGGGTTTATTTCTGTAACATTGCCTGACACTTAACATACTGAATAACAATCTGAAAGAATTAAACATACTTTAACAGGCTCCTTTGATCCAAGAATGACATTGCAGCCGCTACAGCCGGTTTTAGCCGCAGGCTCATGAAGACATCTACTGGGTTGATCCCAAAACATTTTGTACCTAATAGTCGTTTAGACTCCAAACTAGAGCCCACGTTTAAAAACGTACCACATCAATCGCACCTGTATGAACTGAAGCTGGAGCGCTGAGGCTGGAGCGCTGAGGCTGGAGCGCTGAGGCTGGAGCGCTGAGGCTGCTGCAGAGGTATAATGGACTGAAGTGACCCAACAGGACATTAAAGCACATGATGATGAAGAAGAAGAAGCCCTAAACACACTCTCTGTGAATAATATACTTTTCCAATAATGACAGTGAGACAAACCCCTCCCACAGTTCAATGAGGATTACATGTTAAATTACATTTTGAATTAAATAATGAGAACATGATGCAGCTCTAGGACAGACAACAGACACATTAAAGAAGGTATGTGATGTGTGTGTGTGGAGGTGTGACTTCCTGTTCTTAAAAAATGCACCACACTGGAGAGTAAAATGGACACTGATTAAAAGACACCCAGGAGGTCTGGTGGTGATTAAAGTGCCTCCACTGCAGGAATGAGATCTCCCCTCAGAGGAGACTGAACCTCTGCTGACGAGCACAGTGGGAGGAAAGTCTGTGGAAGCCGCTGACTCGGCTCTGGTTCCACTGCAGCGGGTCACAGTTCTGTGGTAGGAGGATTGGACTCGAGAGAAGGAGGGCGTGAGGGGCCTCGCTGGTCACAGCTCAAAGTCGAACTGGTACTCATTAGCCAGGTAGATCCTGCGGAAGATGAGAGCGGCCAGAGCGAGGGTGAGGAGCACGATGAGAACGGCAGAGCCCGTGTGGATGTCCTCCTCCTGCTGCTGGCGAGGAGCCGGGGGGAAGGCCGGCCTGCTGGCTGCGTCTCTGCCGTCTCTCTGACCCTGCTGGCTCTGCTGCTGAGCCCGACGCTGCCGGGGGCTGAGGGGGCGACCCGGACTGGGGACGGCAGTGGGTCGGGCTCCTCTTCTGACGCCTCTGCCTGTGGAGCAGTGAGACAAAAACTAAGCATCAAAGAGTCTTCATAACAAAAACAATATGCACCTTGTGTTACTTTTACCACAGAATCATTTCTGAAGCGTTTGTTTCTGTTTGACTGTCAGAAGCTGCACACAGCTGACTTAATCTGCCTTGGATTCTCCCGGGATTTCTATGATGGCGTTCAGTTTCAGCTGTGAAGATCCGGCCTCTGTCTGAGTGACAGTTTCACTGTTTCTAACAAGCAGTATTTGGAGTTCCTTAGTCACGCCTTACTTTAAATCCTCTATAATTTGTGGTTACTAGCAGTGAAGGGTATCGAGCTACTCTTCAGATTCAATAGTTGTTACAATGGCAGACATTTTTTCAGACTCATTCCTCTTTAGTTTACATGAAACAGTCGACAACTATACAAGATTTAGTGACATGGATTCAGCAGGCGAGGTCACGCTAACGTCAGTCCAATGGCATCCTGGGAGAACAAACCCACGGGCTGATGATCATTCAGGTGTGAGCTTTCTGTCTTGGAGTAAAAAATATGTTTTTCCCTGCTCAAGAATATAGCTGAGTTGTCTATGTGCAGGAAGGAAAACTCTCTCCATCGCCAAGGACAGTACGCTCTCGACGTATGGAGTCAAACCACACACTTCTACTAAACCAGCTGTCAGAGAGCTGCAAACACTGAGACCCAGGTGCAGCTCACAAGGAGTTGTTTTCTCTCACAGTGCCAAAACAACCCAAAATAATGTCAACATTAAGTTTGAGGATGGAAGCAAAACAAGTAACACTAAAGTTACTTTTATAATGCAGTAACTCAGAACCCAAAATAAAGAGGTTTTAATGAGATTAAATGACAATTAACAGACTGAGAGGAGGCTCAATTAACCACATCATGCTTAGTCAGGTCATCAGCAGGAGGGCCAGCGTAAACCTTCTAAAGTGTTTATTATTTTAGAATGGGGTTTGGTTAAAACGTTTCTGGAGAATCTCAACAACGGCAGGCGTCGCAGCACATCATGGATTTTCACTGAAGGCCAAATAATGAATCACGCAGGTTGAGTTTCTTTAAACATGTTAAAGTAGATATTACCTTCTCTCAGAGTGAAAACACAACTTTGAAGATGGAAACCGTTGACTCATAGTTGTGTGTGTGTGTGTGTGTGTGTGTGTGTGTGTGTGTGTGTGTGTGTGTGTGTGTTTACTTGTTTATTAGGATTCATCACAATATCTTGTGTGACAAAAAACAACAACACAGTAGGGCACATGTTTAAAGGAAGTCCTCTTTGTGTCATTAAAGAAATAATAAACATTATAAACCTTTAAGGTTAACTTTTCTTTGGCATGAACAATCTATGATCGTCAAAATCTTCTATATATTAATCTGAAATCATCTTAAATTGTCTCTGGCGTTAATGTCCCTGCAAGAACATCTTCCACATTTGTGCCACTTTTTTTTTTTTTGTGCAACTTTATAGAAATAATCGTTATTCTTGATCATCCTGCTTCAACACATTCAAACCTACGTCAATGTTTTTCCAGCATAAATACTGAAGGTTAAAGTTATTTCAGAGAAACTGTGAAACCGCTGCACAGGCCCCTAAAGTGCAGTTTAAGGGCCTGTGTCCACTGACGATGCTCTTAGCACTGGCAGCAACCACAACCACAGTTTCAGAGCGCTGCTTCTTGTTGCCAGGTTACAAAAGTTAACTTCTGATTCCCTTGGTAGTGGCCGTTAGCTCTGTTAAAAAAAGTTCCATATGATTAATATTTGCTTTTTATTCAAATGAAATATCACCAAGAAAATATATAAATGAATCTTGTACTGGCATTAGCAGCAACTCTGGACGTGGAAATTTAAAGAGTTGGATAAGTTTCTTCTCGGCTGTCATAGTTGATATCAGAAGTCCTGCCCCTTCTTGATTCGGATTGGACGGTAAGGGTGAATTGACATTGGTGAGTGAGTGAAATGTCAAGACGCTGAACATGTTTTTGCACTCTGGGTGCTGAGAGCTGAAAATGCTAAATTGCATTGTTGTCGTTTTCTTTCAAAATGTAATTCAGTGGACTCCTTCTCTCAGACAGGGACCAAAGAAAGTACTGAAGAACACTAATCACTTAAGGCAAATGTATATTGGTGCAAAGGACTAATGTTTCAATGCACTGTATCTCCTTCAGAGTTTGACTGTTTCTTAACTTTCTGTAGATTCTGCCTGAGAGACAGAGTCCACTGAATTAAATCTTGAACTTCTAAGGTCAATGAGAGCACTGACCTCCACCTGTGGAGCGGCTGAAGCGCAAGAGTTTCCTTCTGCTTTGCATTGGTTTGGTAGTAAGAATGGATGTTGCCAGTGCGAAATACAGCCATAGTGTAAAAAGTCTTGAGGCTCAGGTTTTACAGATAAAACATTTATATATTTCAGTCAGTCAGAGTCGGCTGTGGACAGAACATCCTTCAGGACTGTGCAGCGGCAGTGTAGGATACCTCGGTCCAAACAGGTTTTAAATCGTGTCCCTCCAGCTCCAGATGGTGAGTCCTTTTTCTGACCTCCTCAGTTTTATCCAAAAACTCACCAACTCTAATCTAAGTTGACCCTCCTCCCTGCTCCTCCACACTCTGCTGCTGTGGTACAGTGGTGAGCAGCTGGCGCCAAAAAAAAATCAATCCTCTTAGGCGAACAAAGCTTGTCCATAACATCTGAACTGGTGAAAGAAAGCAGCGGAACCATCGACTCCAAGCTGCCGAAACAGATCCAGAGAGATGTGCTGAGGAAACGCTGATGTCTCGCTGCTTGATTTCACACACACACACACACACACACACACACACACACACACACACACACACACACACACACACACACACACACACACACACACACACACACACACACACACACACACACACACACACACACACACACACACACACACACACACACACACACACACACACACACACACACACACACACACACACAGAGCTGCTGCTGCTGCACAGTCAATCATTTTCATCCAGACTCATTCAGAGTGACTCGGCTCAGTGGGATGTCAACAGGTGATGAGAAGTGTCACCAATTACAGAAACAATGTCAAAGATGAGTGACTGACTGACAGATGGTGTTTTTAAAACCTGGACCATGCTTTAGGTATTTTAGAGTCTCGATGATTAGTAAGTACAAAGAGGCTTGGAAAAGCTCCAGTTGATTTCTTCAGCCAGCAGCCATGAAACAGTCTGTGATGTCTGCAATGTTATCTGGGGACAAACGTGTCTGATCAGAGCATGACTAATAGAAGTAGATCAATATTCTCAACATCTGACAGTGATACAGAAAGGATCCTTACAGACAGAGACCTTTTGGTTGAAGAGGAGAATAGTTTTAAAATGTGTCTGTTTGCATTCACACTTACAGCTGTGAATTGGATTTTTTAAATTCTACAAGTGTGAAAGTCCTGATAGACATTAAAAACTATACGGAATAATAATAAAAGGATACTAGAAGGAAAGGAAGAGAGAGAGGGAGTGAAAAGGAAAGACAGATTGTACGTCTGTTTGGAGGATCTGAGAGGGAGAATTGAGAAGGGTGTGTGCTCTGTGTGTGTGTGTGTGTGTGTGTGTGTGTGTGTGTGTGTGTGTGAGTTTGAACGTGTTGATGTGTGTATTCATGTTGTGTGAAAGGTGGTGTTTGTGTAATGTTTATGGGGCTGCAGCAGGGGGGTTTTGGGATCCAAGGCCCAAAGGTTGTTGTACAACTTAAATCTTTCAAACGGTTCATTCTAACAGAGTTTTAAATAACTTAGAACTAAAAACAAAATCACTGAGAGTGGCAGCAGTAGAACAGCAACTTCCTTCTTCCTCTGAGGTAAAAGGTTTTTGTCACTGACGTCTGGCAGCTTTGAAGACATTTGAAAGGGTTTCTTCTAATAGAAAAACCTCTTTGTATTGATTATTAAGCTTCATCTCTATAGCATCTGTTCTGTAGTGAAGTCAGGCACTGCTGTTATAACACTCTCTTCAAAGCTGGCAGACTCCATTCATTAAAACTCAGTTTTATTTTTTTTTGCGCCTTTTATTTTTGAGAGATAGGACGTTAACAGAGTCGGAAATCAGGGAGAGAGAGAGAGCTGGGGAATGAGCCACAGGTCGGATCCGAACCCGGGCCACCCGCCCGGAAGACCACATCCTCCATACATGGGGCGTGCGCTAACCACTGCGCCACCAGCGCCCCATTAAAACTCATTTTTCATCACGAACAGGAGTTGATGGTCCACCATCATCTCATTCAGTTGGTGTTACAGCCTGACTGTTTTTAAATGGTTAGTTCAGATCCAACACAACTTTTGTGTACAAACTGAATATTTGAAGTGGAGGTAAACCACTGACTCTGACTCCTGACTTCTGGAGGATAGAATGATAAAATGTTTTTCTTTCAATGGAGTCTGGTGTGTTTAAAGAGTGATTCAACGGCTGCTTCTGATAAATAAATGAGAATAAATAAAAAAAACACAGAAAGGAAACCTTCAGAGATAGACCTGCTTGTTAAAGAATAATATGACTTTTGTGTTGCCCACTTTTATATCACTATACTCCACGGACAAAATGTGTAATGTTACCAGCAGATACCATAACTGAACTGGTCTATAACTGCAGCAACTCGTTAGTTTAAATCTGATTTTGTTTCAAGTTACAAGTTTAGATTTCTGTAATGTCGTCAGACAATTAAAACAACAATCTGAGCCTGCAGTTGCAAAAAAAAGCACTTTTAAAGGATGGACAAGACCCTATTTCTGTTGTAAGACCAATTTCACGTGCAGTGTACTCTGAGGAGAACGACGGCTATTCTAGCCCCGATCTGCTGTCGCCCGGGAATCAGGGAATGTTTGTTATGATTTAGCTTTTAGTTAGCTTGTGTTTGTTAGTGATGCTGTGTGTGTGTGTGCGTGTGCGTGTTTGTGTGTGTGCGCGTGTTAGAGGAAAAGCAAGTGCATATGTGCTGATGTGTGTCTTTGAGCTGTGCACATGAGACAACTGAACTACAGTTTTCTATTTAAATTGCGCCATCCTGATTTCACTCATACAGTGTGAGCTCAGGTCATGCCTGACAGCCGGGTTGTACAGTGTGAGTACATAAATCTCGAGCTCTGGTGTGTCGTTAAGGACGACAGAGTGAGCTGAGATTCTACCACGACTTTTACACAATCGTACGGTGTACGCCGGGCTATATACACCACAGAGGACTGAAGAAATCTAATGAAGCTATTCCCAAACTCCTGTACCATTTAGTCATTCAGTCCCTAAAGTATGTCAAAGCAGGGAGCACTTTTAAAAATACCAGAATTATCCTTTAATGAAGATTGTTTTTGGATCATTAGCTGCCTCGTCTGAGCTTCTTCTCCATGTGTTCAAGCAGTTTGAGCTCATTTATTAAATGCAGAAACTTCCACGACTAAACACTCCACACTCACAGATGAACATAGTAAAATAATACAAATACTGTCATCCAACGGAATAGTAATAATAATTATTAATGACAAGTCTATCTGTTGGTGAGTCTCAGTTTATGAGTCTAACCTGGTTGGATCTTTAATTAGACTGAGTCCAGTAATGCTCTTTAAATACAGCCAAACTGAGTCGACTGTAAAGACTTCTCTACAGCAGGATTGTAGCTCATACATTTATTTTAAACAATCATACTGTCTGTGATATTTAACACATCAAAGCCACTTACCATGATTTCAATGTTTCATTTCCTGTTTTATTTTGTATTCCTCCCTCGTGTTGCTTTAATTCCTGTGAATATCTCTTTATTTTCTCATTTGTATCCTCTTGTGCATTTCCCCTTGTCTTTTTAGTGTTTCCTGTCTTATTTTGTAATTCTTTTTGCCTTTTTGTGTCATCTCTTGCTTAAGCTGTTGTCCTGTTTTATTTCTGAGTGTCTGCAGTGTTTCCTGTTTTATTTTGTAGTACTTGTCTCCAGTGTTTCTGATCCTGTCTGACTTCCTCTCCTTGTCTGGTTTCCCTCGTTTGTCACACCTGTGTCCAATCACTCCTGGTTTATTGTCTTCCTGCTCCTGAGATACGTCTCTTACCTCTCAGGGTTTTCTCGAAGCTCTTTGTTTCTCTTTCTGCATTTTTGGATAGTAAGCCTTATATTGCCTTTTGCATTTTTGTCAAAATTCATGCAATAACTTCTGGTTTTCTGCATGTGGGTCCTCCTCTTTGTGTTTTTTTTTTACCACCTATGACACATCTCTGACACACATGCTTTCTTCACATACAGTATCAGAAAGTTAGGCCACAAAAAAAGGAGAAACAGTCCTCAGTTGTTCCTCTCTGAAAACACTCACTGCTGTGTCCGACAGTTTGCAGCTTAAACAGATTGAAAAATAAACCTGCAGGACACTGAATCAGATTGTTTAATCCTCAGTATCAGCTCTGTTGCATGTCGCTGAAGGAGATTTACAGTGGAGTGATATATTTTTATTAAGTCTTCAGTGATGTAAATCATCAGCAGTAAGTGTTAGCTTTTAGTGTCAGCTCCTCAAGAGCAGATCAGGGACTTCTTTAGAGTAATCGCAGAGCTGTCACGCAGATCTGCTGTAGGGACAGAGGACGATGGAAACACCACTCAATCCTAGACAGAGACAGAGTAGAGACGTACAACACGGCTGCTGACACTCCTTTTCAGTTGTCACACCCCCCACCCCCTCCTGCAATTTCAGGGGTGCCTATAGCCTAGTGGTTATAACACACGGCCCACATACAGAGGATTTAGTCCTCATTGCAGCGATCGTGGATCCAAGTCCGACCCCGGCACTTTGCTGCATGTCATTCCGGTGACATGCGTCCTATTCCGGCGGTAATAGCAGCTGGAAGGGAGCTCTGTGATCTGCAGAGATGGTTTCAGTGTCTGGCTGAATTTCAAAAACCTTTCCCTTCTCTAAATTCACAACAAATAACCTCGCAGCGAAGCTGGGATTGTGTTTTTTTTTTATTATGTATTCATTACACAGATCTGTCAGCGTTGTCTAAACACTGAAGACAGTAATGATCACTCAAACATTCAGGCAGAAAAGAGAGATTGGATTTGTATCTTTTTTTTTTTATGATGTCATGGAGCCCTCCGTCTCCCCCGCTGAATTTAAGATTCTTTTTGATTAATGTTGAGGTTGAAGCTGAGAGGAATTGGTGTACATTCCTCTCGCTCATAAATCCAACATGTTGTGAAACGTAACAAAGTGGAGGAAAACTTAAGACCAAAAAACAAAAGGTAAACAGTTGTACTCAGACTCTGAACCACTGAGTGTTTTATGAGTATTTTAAAAGTGATTCTGGTGTACGGGTAGCCAGTGGAGTGCTTTGAGGACCAGAGAGATGTGTTCAGGACTCTGGCTGTTTATTTTTGAATAAGATGAAGTCGTCCTACAGATTGTTTGGATGACCCTGCATACAGAGCTTTGCCGTTATCTAACTTGGTTAAAATTAAACATGTTCTCAGAATTTAAATATTTTTTCAGGAGGAACCATGCAAGTTTTTTTGGATTCAAAAACACTTTACCTAATTGTCTACAATTTTCCAAAACGTACCCGAAATGATAATTTCAGTTCATCAACAACGTTGTTCTAAACTTCTAGTTTTGGCTGTCAGTGATAAAATCAGTGTACTTAAAGGTGCAATATGTAGAATCTTTACACTAAAATATCCCAATTAATTTAAAAACCTGTTTTATATTTCTGTTGTTGTTGAGTACTTGCATTGCCTCTAATATTTACAACAGTTTTCAAAGCCAGAGAAATCCTTAATTTTATAGTTGTAACGGGGAGCCTGCCATAACAAGCTCGACATGTTAATCATTGCCATGGAAACACTGGATGTTACGTCAAAGACCGCTACATAAGGAAGCTTGAGCTGTTACTGAAAGTTGCTGTACTGTTGCTGTATGTGCTGCTGTGATAAGAAAAACGTGATGTATACTTGGATACGTCGTCAGTAAACATATCGTTTTCCTGCCCGTTCGTCTTGAGATCGTGTTAGGCGGTGGGGGTGGATTAGCAGAGAGAATCACTCCCATGATTCCCCGCCTGCCTCAACGTCATATTGTTTTGATTGAGCGCCCCCTGGTGGTGAAAATTACATACTGTGTTTAAGCAGGAAGTATAAGTCCGTTGGTGAGGTTTGAGATGATAAATCCAGCAGAGAGGACAGTTAAGAGCCCATTGCTTTAACATCACACTTACATTCACTAAAAAGTTGAGCGATAATAAGACTGGAATAAAAAGATGACGTGGTCAAAAATATACAGTAGATGTTTCAGTCGTTCAACATCGATACGATAGTTCAGAGAAGTTTGCATCTATCTCAGCCTGTGGACTTGTTGTGGATTTGAAGCCCAGTGGAATTACTGTGTGGGTTATCTTCTCTGCAGTTTTTCAACATTTTCTCTAGCACCTTGTAACTCAGTCTCACACCTACTGACATATTAGTTATGAAAACATACTAAATAAAACAGATATGTGGTAAATAAAGCCGTGTAGAAACTGTTTACTTTGCTGGTTGGTGATCTAAAAACCTGTGGAAGTGTGTGGAGGCTCTGTTCTGTAGGTGGTGTTTTAACTGCAGGGGGGTTAATGTTCTCTCCTGTGTTCAGTCCCTGAGCGGCACTTTAACACCTACCTGTTCGGTCTGAGGCTCGTCAGCCGCTTCCTGTCCTGCAGACGTGGAGGCGTCTCCCTGATCGAGCGAGGAGGTCTCGCTCTCTGCTCCTCCGCTCTCACTCGTATGTCTGGATAAACTGGTCTCCGCCTGCAGGAACGCACAGAGAGCTGCCGTCACTTAAACAGTACACAGACAATAAGAGTGTGATAGGAGGGTTTGGGGGTCTGTCATGGCTCACTGAGAATGAGTTCATCATCATAAATAACCAGTTAAACATTCTGCATTGTAGATAGGATTGAAGGATGTTGATCAATTCAGGAAAAGGAGAGCAAATGCAGGGATTGATTAAATAAAAGGGGGACATTTAAAGGCAAGTTTTTTTTTACACTAGAGTGAGAGGAATGTACGGTAAAAACTCTCAAACTGTTTTTACATCTGCATTCCTAAAAATATCTAGATAATTTCAGGAGAGCTCCTCATGAAATTCTCCTGACCTGGCTGTTTATAAATACACCTCACAGCGGGAGACTTTCCCTGTCAGATGGAGAGGGGGCTTAAAACCAAAGCCAGGGAAGTAGCCGACGAAGCAACAGTCAGCTTTGTGACGCAATAATGATAATATTTGCCTTCATATCAATGCAATGTGAATCAGCTGTGCAGCTCATCATCACTACCTGACACTGATGCTGTGAAGTGAAGGCCTCCTCATGGGGTAAATTTGCACTCCACATCTCTTTCAATCTCTCATTGAGAGGAGCTAAAACTCGAGGAAACGACGTGAGTGAGGGACGCTGGGAGAGACAATAAAGGCAGAGTTGGTCATTTTCTCCAGATACACTTTTTAAGATTTGTGTTGAAATTGTCTTTATGTCCTGACAGACATTAATAACTCATGTTCTCTGAAAAAGGAACAAAGACAATCTGTCATCTGTAACAGTTGTAGGAATGTAAAAACTTTGACCAATGTCTGCCACGAGGTACCAATCTGATGAACCAATCACACGCCTCCCTGTCTCACTGCTCGTTCTCTACCTCATGCATCCAAGAGCCCACACTCAAAGCATGATCTGAGGTCCGCTTCTGGACCAATGGTGCCTGTGCATGTAAGTGAGGGGCGTGGCTTTTGAGGGAGCACAGAGGGGAGGGGGTGCAGACGGAGCACTGAGGGAATGCTACTTTCAAAATCATGCTAGTTTTTGAAAATCACCAACCCTGTCTTTAATAAATGGATACTTTCATAATAAAAAGGCAAACAATATCCACAGATGAAAATATGATTCAAATCTCTAGAAAAGCTACTGAATGAACCGTCTGATCGTTTCTGTAGTAAACAGTTGTCTCTGAATCTAAGCATGAACTCTTGAACTCTGGAATGTTTCTGTTCGAAACAGAAAGTCTGAGCAGCAGAGCGGAGTGAAGTATCCGACATGTAGGCCACTGTAGTCTGAAACGTCGTCATGTCAAAATAAAAGCATGTCAGCGGAGGCAGGGATTATATATTTCTGGCTGATGAAGTGCACAGAAAGAGAAAAAAGCAGCCGTTCCTCTCTGTAGCTGGTGCTGTCAGAAGCTCTTTTGCTCCGAGGGTTAAAGAGCTGACTGAAGCGTGAATCAAACGTGACGCACGTTAAGCCGCTCGGTCGTACCTTGAAGTTGATTTGCTGAGCCAGTTCTTTGGCCTGGTGGTCCTCGGCGCTCGGGTTGCTGTTGGGGGTCAGAGCCAGGAGGGCGGAGCGCATGGAGCAGCCGCACGTCTCGCAGCAGAAGTCCTGAGACCTGACGGAGACAGAGTGATGGTGCATGGTGAGGTCATGGTGCTGCAGGAGAATCTTAAACATTCAGAGACCTTCAGTTTAAAAATAAAAACAAAAAGGAGGTTAAAACTTTTCATTTTCCCTCCTGTCTGTGAATGACCAACCTGCTTTATAAATCTGCTTCAGAAACAAAATATATAACCTGTTAATATATCAAACACACCTAAAATGTAAAGTTCTGCTCGTCCTATCACAGAACATCTGGTTTACCTGCCGTGTCACCTGAAATATTAACCAGCCAGACTTTCTCCCAGCAGCTTGTACAATAACTACATCGTTCCCTGATGTATGTCCCACTCATAATTAAACAGCAGCTCAGGCCTGTAATGCATCATCGAGTGTGATTAAGGTTCAAAACAAAAAGACTTGTTCCACTTCATCCAAAAGAACAACAACAACAACAACAACAACAACAACACTGATGTATAGCTGCAACACGTCAGCCTAACAGCTTCATGCTTCAAGGAAAACTCCAGTCTTCTTCTCACAGTGGTTTCTATGGTTTCTATCCTGTCTGCTATCTTTATTTCTGTCTACATGTTCTTCTCCTGACCCTCATTCTTGCAGCAGACATTGAGAAACTGTAATTTGGGGTGTCTTGGTTTGTCATGGGTGCACAAGAATGCTCATAGACCAAAAAATGTGATTAATACCACTGAACAGGATCGAAGCAGATTGATATACTTTTTAAAGGAAGAATGTACGACTTTTTACTCATAAATACAGCAGAAATGAAGTCTATCCTGTGTAAATGTGTCTCTGAGTCATGACTGTCTACAATGAGTGAGAAGTGTGAGTCCCACTGGCTGTGTTGTTGTCTGAGCCGTGTTTACATGGACGGGACGGCCTTGTGTATCAAATTACTACATGTAGCCCTGCCCACAATCCTCCCATGTAGTATGTCCTATTTGACTCGAATTGTGTACATCATTTACTAAATGAACATCATGCTGTTTGAAGAAGACTTGAAACTGGAGATTGAGATCGTCAACTCATTATGAAAATGTTTACTGAGGGAACACATAACTGTGAAGTAGGAACATTTTATCATAGACTTCTATACAATCAGACTTGTTTAGCACCGGTAGGTTTGCCCCCTTCTGGTAAGTAAAGAGAAGACACTTGTGAAAATACTTCACCTTTTTAGTCCAGGTGGCTTTGTCCACAGCGCCTGACGTTTTGACATTAGCTGAATCTTTATGATGACTTTAAAAAGATTACCAAACAGAGAAGTATCACCGAGGATCGAACAGTGAAACTAACCAACAGTTGGTTTGAGGAAGAGCTACAATGGGATTTTTTTGGCTGGTGGTCAAAGATTGTGAGGTGGTCAGCACGGCCAAAGAAACAGAAACTAGACGATGGATTCTGATTTATTCAGACACTTAAATGTGAGCAGTCTGAGCAGATGGTGGCTCACTGGTGAATCTGAAAAACTGCAATTTGGCATCTTGATTAGGACGTTAACGAGGTTTTCAGAGTGAGGTGCCTGTATTTTTCACATTTGTGTGTTTGCATCCTGTAGAGAATCTGGCAAAAAAACAAGGCTGCAGAAGAAGCTTTGTTCGTTTGTGGATTTGGCTGCGTTTGATGTTGGCTGCGTCATAAAGCATCCTCAGCTGACAGCTCTGTCTCTGCCTCCTCCACCTGTGGCACACTCAACACCACATCCCTGCAAAAAGGTGTAGACTGTTGTGTGAAACCTTCACACCTTCGTGTCAGTCCTGACAGCGGGGTGCAGTGCAATATTTCTTAGAGAAGGAGCAACACATCCACTGAGCGCACTGACATAGAAATAAAACATAAAAAGCAAGACGTAAAAGAGGTTTGAGGGGACTTGTATCGGAGAAGCTAATCGTCCCTTGCAGCTGCTAATGGCCTGATGTTGCAGCTGTGAGGAGGAGAGATGAATCGTGCTCTGAGGAACACCACATCATCACCGTGGAGCTCCTCGGGCCAAAGGTGGCACGGATAGATTTGGATACATTATGGCATTAAATGATCCACATCAGTGTCTTCCTCTGGAGCCAAATTGAAATTCTGTTGGGAGTGAAGTTGAGATGTAGCCGGGGAAGAAGCTGGGTTTGTTAGGCATTCTCCATGACTCTGGGAACGATCTGGTGTGCCTCTAGTCGTCGTGTCAGTGGACTATGACAGCTTTAACAGGCGGTCTGTGTCTCCTGGAGCAGAATCCATGCAGACAGGCTCCACAGTTGGTTGATGGTTTCTCATATGAATGACTGTTTGAACCCTCCTTAGTGCTGATAATCTCACAGATAATAACACAGATTAGCCAGAAGGAGGGCTTTGGTTTGAAAAAATCTGACATAAATACTGAGAGAGGAGAAGCAAGCCTTTAGATTTGATGTCAGTAATACATCACACACACACACACACACACACACACACACACACACACACACACACACACACACACACACACACACACACACACACACACACACACACACACACACACACACACACACACACACACACACACACACACACACACCACACACACACACACACACACACACACACACACACACACACACACACACACACACACACACACACACACACACACACAACACACACACACACACACACACACACACACACACACACACACACACACACACACACACACACACACACACACACACACACACACACCTCTTACTTTTGATATAAATTGGAGGAGCGTTCTTCTAAAAAAAGCGAGCTGCAACTTGCTGGCTGTAATTACATGACTAGTCCGCTGTTTGGTTGACAACCGGTGCTTATGGAGTAATTACCAATAAGAGAACCTTTTTCTATGAGCTGAACTAGTCTCGGTTATGAACAATCACATAGCAGTAACAAAACAATACTGCTTCTCTAAACCCATCTTTTGTACAAAGGCAGAGATATAGGTCACGTCCAAAGGTAGAAACTTTGTATTTATCCAACAGCTCACACTGCTTTATGTGGAAAAAGAGAGGCACACAGTCCAGGAGTGCACGTCTGTTTTGGGGCGTAGATTCAGAATTATTATATTATGAAGAGTTGTAAGAGAGAGACAGAGGACAGAAAAGAGGGGGTTAATGATCGCCAGTGTTTAGACCAAACTTGGATTATTTTTGCATTTGAACATGTTCTAATGACCTGTTAGACATCACAGTCAATCTAAAAAAAGATGTCATGTTCATATCAGTGTTTGTATGAGACGCTTTGTGGGCTTGGTTTGTCCAAATGCAGCGAGAAACAGAGGGTTGTAAATGAAAGGAGATTGGTAAAACATAATTTAAAGGTGAGTTGTGTAATTTTAAACCCAGGCCCTGCTTTAATATTTTTTGGGGTCTACATGACTGAAAATACAAAATCTCTGGAGAAGCATGAGTACGGTAGATTAATTCAGCCAGCAGCAGTGAAACAAACGGATGCAACACAATCCATTGGGGTAAAAGATCCTGATCAAATAACATCCAATTAAAGTTGTTTTTTGTCACTGACAGGCTCAGTTATCCAAACTGTCTGAAAACATTACAGAGTGTCCCTCCAGAAATAAACCTTTTGTTAAAGAGGAAAGTTATTCATGATAACAGCTCTTACATTCACCTCTTTAAAGTCACGAGTCAGTTGACAAAATTCTGCTGTCTGATGCAATCTCCCGGAGAAATCACAAAACTTAAAAAATATATATTTTGGGGCTTTTTGTCTTTATTGAATAGGACAGTGGATAGAGTGGGAAACAGGGAGACTAAGGCCAGACCCAAATAGGGCCGCCCAATTTGAGGACTGTAGCCTCTGTACATGGGGCATGACCTAACCACTAGGCCATCTGTGCCCCAATTTGTATACCTTTTAAAAAGGTATAATTTGAGGCATATTAAACATTAGCAGCTTTAATATTGAGGAGGAATTACTTTCTAAAAAAGAGTTAAGTCAAACTAAGTCAAACTCCCCCAGCGGTTCAAACGTGTTACATACAGCACATGTTTTTTGTCCCACATGGATCCCTCCTTGTCCAACCGTTAGCCCTGCCAGGAAGGGGAGGAGAGACGACCTCGCACAATTGCAAGAGTGCAAAAAAGAAAAGACTCTGTTTAGTCTTAAATATTTTAAAGAAATAAGAACCACATCAACTTTAGGCTGCCTATCTGGAGATCATTTGTATAAACGGCTTCACTCGGTCAGAAAACTGAGGGAGGGGTAGGAGAGGAGGGGAAACAGTGAGGTTTGTTTTTTGTCTACAAGACGGGTACTGAAGTGCAACACCTACTGGACGTCTACTCTGAAAGTTACATATTACCTTTGAGCAAGTCATTTAAAGAATACTGGAAATACTCTTTGAGTTTACATATAAAGTCAAAAATGTATATTCTTATATACAGTGGGTACGGAAAGTATTCAGACCCCTTTACATTTTTCACTCTTTGTTTCATTGCAGCCATTTGCTAAAATCAAAAAAGTTCATTTTATTTCTCATTAATGTACACTCAGCACCCCATCTTGACAGAAAAAAAAAACAGAAATGTAGAAATTTTTGCAAATTTATTAAAAAAGAAAAACTGAAATATCACATGGTCATAAGTATTCAGACCCTTTGCTGTGACACTCATTTAACTCACATGCTGTCCATTTCTTCTGATCCTCCTTGAGATGGTTCTGCTCCTTCATTGGAGTCCAGCTGTGTTTAATTAAACTGATTGGACTTGATTAGGAAAGGCACACACCTGTCTATATAAGACCTTACAGCTCACAATGCATGTCAGAGCAAATGAGAATCATGAGGTTGAAGGAACTGCCCAAGGAGCTCAGAGACAGAATTGTGGCAAGGCACAGATCTGGCCAAGGTTACAGAAGAATTTCTGCAGCACTCAAGGTTCCTAAGAGCACATTGGCCTCCATAATCCTTAAATGGAAGAAGTTTGGGACGACCAGAACTCTTCCTAGACCTGGCCGTCCAGCCAAACTGAGCAATCGTGGGAGAAGAGGTAAAGAAGAACCCAAAGATCACTGTGGCTGAGCTCCAGAGATGCAATAGGGAGATGGGAGAAAGTTCCACAAAGTCAACTATCACTGCAGCCCTCCACCTGTCGGGGCTTTATGGCAGAGTGGCCCGACGGAAGCCTCTCCTCAGTGCAAGACATATGAAAGCCTGCATAGAGTTTGCCAAAAAACACATGAAGGATTCCCAGACTATGAGAAAGAAGATTCTCTGGTCTGATGAGACCAAGATTGAACTTTTTGGCTTTAATTCTAAGCGGTATGTGTGGAGAAAACCAGGCACTGCTCATCACCTGCCCAATACAATCCCAACAGTGAAACATGGTGGTGGCAGCATCATGCTATGGGGGTGTTTTTCAGCTGCAGGGACAGGACGACTGGTTGCAATTGAAGGAAAGATGAATGCGGCCAAGTACAGAGATATCCTGGAAGAAAACCTCTTCCAGAGTGCTCAGGACCTCTGACTGGGCCGAAGGTTCACCTTCCAACAAGACAATGACCCTAAGCACACAGCTAAAATAACAAAGGAGTGGCTTCGGAACAACTCTGTGACCATTCTTGACTGGCCCAGCCAGAGCCCTGACCTAAACCCAATTGAGCATCTCTGGAGAGACCTGAAAATGGCTGTCCACCAACGTTCATCATCCAACCTGACAGAACTGGAGAGGATCTGCAAGGAAGAATGGCAGAGGATCCCCAAATCCAGGTGTGAAAAACTTGTTGCATCATTCCCAAGAAGACTCATGGCTGTACTAGCTCAAAAGGGTGCTTCTACTCAATACTGAGCAAAGGGTCTGAATACTTATGACCATGTGATATTTCAGTTTTTCTTTTTTAATAAATTTGCAAAAAATTCTACTTCTGTTTTTTTTCCTGTCAAGATGGGGTGCTGAGTGTACATTAATGAGAAATAAAATGGACTTTTTCGATTTTAGCAAATGGCTGCAATGAAACAGAGTGAAAAATGTAAAGGGGTCTGAATACTTTCCGTACCCACTGTATATTTATATTAGTTTCTTATATTCTATTCTAACGTCAATTGTTCTTCTGTAAATAAAGTGATTCATTAGTAAAGCAATGCAAAGGTGACTTCATCTTTGTTAAGGACAAGTAGTTACTGATATCTCATACAGTACAATTACTCCACATTCAATTTAGAGCATACACCAGGTGTTAGGAATAACATGTTTTTTGTGTCTTTCCTGGGACTTCCACTGTGCCCCTGTGTGTTTGTTCTATCACTTCCTGAGCTGACCGACTTCTCTGGCTGTTAACTTGTCAAACAGTGAAAAGATTGGACAGGAGCCTCTCCCAGCTGAGCTCTGACTGACAGCTCACACAATCTCCAGAGGCACAGAAACAGGAGATGAGAAACCAGAGCGAGGAGCTGTCTCAACCTCAAAACCTCGAGTGTAAAAAGAGGTTTTCTATCAACGAGATAAGCAGCCAAGTATTTATAGTAAAGAGCGTCCTCCTGTCGATCTCATCTCATGTGTTAATGAAACAGCCCACTGTCACACACCCTGCTCTCATGTGATAATCCAGGAGCGACTTTAGCTGGATCCTCTCCTCCTCTCACTTTGTTTGGATTCCTCAGAGAGAAAACGTGCCGTGAAATAAAGAGAAACATGCCCATTCAGGTTTCCTCCACTAACAGGCTACTTCAGCGATAATGAATATGTCACATTGGACTAACAGGACTGGCATGGGCGCACTCATTCCCCATCATGAATAAGCAGTCATTAGTGAACTGAGACTCAGATGCTAATTACTTTACATTCACATGTGTGTGTTTGAATAGGAAACCCCAAACGTGATAAGAATGTATGATTTGATTAAACAAAGTCACCCGTTAAATTGGCTTTAACACCTGAATAAAGGATGTATGTGTTGACACTTTGGAAAGTTGGCTGTGACTTAAAATCACTGCAAATGTTGTTTGGTGTAAGGCAAGCAGGGCCACCCACAAAAAAGGCCAAGTGAACGGGCCTCCACAGATGTCATTAAATAATATCACTACACGGTGTCGGATCAGTAGTGTTAGCGTTAGCCTCCTAGCTCACATTTGACTCCTCTGTCTGGCTCTGACTAGCTTTTGGCATTTACTGAAAACCATTTGCCAACAAGTAACTTTTGATGTCAAAAAGTAACCTCCTGCCTCCTTTCTTTCTGACTTTCTGCAGGTCCTGGTGTAGCATATACCCAGCCCGACATTACTGGCCTAAAGTTCAATGGGCTTGACACTAAATGTAATGTCACTACAGAAAGGCAATTTACATTTTAAAACAGGCAACAATTAATAAAATGTGTGTCTTTGTTGTGTTAATAACTAATGGTGAGTATTAAGATTTTTTTTAAACTGTCTTACATTAAGTATGACGATGTTTTACATAACCCAAGTGGGCTCCCCATGACTGTATATGCACGCTACCGTTGCAATCTCCATGCACGTAATAAAACTGCTTCAAATGGAGCCTACCATTCTATCCAACAGTATGAGATAAACAGCTGAAATAGTTAGCTATAGGAATGAAGGACAGCTGAAACATTCATCTTAATTCAAACCAATGAAACTATCCCCAAAATTGACTAAGTATATCCACTTTTATATGATGGGCAAACATTAAGATCCTGAGATATGGGAGCAAATGAAGGGGTACATGTGTTCATATATAGAGGACTGCAGGGGTATCCTAAATGTCAGAAACGCTTATCTAGGATACACAGTTCTAAACACACCTCGTTATTATTCTCTACTCGTAGCAGCGCACACACAACCCGTGCTCTGCAGAGTAAACATTAGAAATATTTTCATCTAGCACATCTTACTTTTTGGCGAGGGTCCTCCTCTCTTCTGGGGTATAATCAAGGGATCCTATCGCTCCCTCTCCTTTTGTTGGCATGAATCCGATGATAGCTATTAGAGCAGTTCGAACTGTGGAGGAGAAACAGACAGAAGGAGAGAGGAGGAGAGACACATTTTAAAAAAAAACACAGCGTGTTCTGGGTAAAACAGACAAGGTTAAATTACATGACAGGATGCACATGTCTGCATGTTCAGTTCCAGTGTTACATAATGAAATGATGCTTTGTTTTCAGTGTAAGCCTGGATTTACCCAGGCCTCTCAGAGGACAGTCACCCTGCGTCTGTCCTCACACTTCCTCCAGCTGGCACGAGACACGCTTGACAATATGGTCAGGGTCAGGGGTGTGTTTGTGTTGGGACGGGCCGTGTTTGTCTGAACTTTAGTCCATCTCATATTCTAAATTAAAGCATCTGGAAGCCTAAAAATAAATATCTGATTTATGAAGAAAAGCTGCCTTTATAGTGACGTAACACTGACTACTACAACAAAACATGCACACCATGCTCTGGGTTTGAGATTAAAAGCTCTCTTACATACACAACCATATTGCGTGTTATTCAAAGGAAACACATTCTCCTCCTCTTCAACCAGCTTAAATAAGTCTCAGAGCTCCACAAAACATGTGTGTGAAGTTTCTTGTTCTAAATCCACTCTGATCCTGTATTTGATCATGTCTATAAACCCCTCTATTTCAGCCTTGCTCAGAACAGGCTGTTTCTGTGTCTGTACCTTTAAATATGTAAATGAGCTGTGTCTGACCACGCCCCCTCACTGGAAGGGCTTGGGTGTCTCGGGCTTTCTTGCTCCATGTCCTATTGTTTACAGTGAGAAGGCAGACTCAGAGGACAGAACAACCCTCAAGTGTGCAGCACGGGTTCAAATCTGACCGTCAGCTCCTTTCCCAGATGTCATTCCCCATTCTCTCTCTCTCTCACTCCCTGATTTCTGACTATCCACTGTCCTGTCTTTCTAATAAAAGGAATAAATAGACCAAACACATAAAAATATAGGAAAAAAACAAAAACTAGAGGTGCACACATGAATCGACTCATGAAAGGAACCAGATGTTTTCAGCCTGTTCAGTCAAACACAAGCGGTTTAATGCCACGCACATGGCAACTAACACACACACACACGAGCTAACATGTCAGCAGTGTGAGTCCCTGACAGCAGAGATAAAAAGCCTTGGTGCACAGGAGTATAAACAGAGACTGTTTTCCCAGGACTTCTCCTCCTGTCTGCCCACGGTGGGTCAGCATACAAACTGTGTGCAAATGTCTTTTATCTCCGTCTGTCTCTCTGTTGTGTGTTCGTTTAAATGTTATTTAATGAATGTTCTTGTCACACTCTTGGTTATGATTGGACACTAAAATAATAAAAGCTCAGCTTGTGAGCGTGTTATCAAAAAAGATGGACCTGCCGTGAGACAGATAACTTTGCAGGATATTTCATATACGTATATCCTTCCATTATCTATACCGCTTTTCCCGTTCAGGGTAGCGGGGTCTGGAGCTGATCCCAGCTGTCATTGGGTGAGAGGCGGGGTTACACCTGGACTGTTCACCAGTCAATCACAGGGCTGACACATGGAGACAACCAGCCACAGTCACACCTACTGAGAATGTAGAGTCACCAATTAACCTAACCGCATGTCTTTGGACTGTGGCAGGAAGCTGGGGTACCCAGAGAAAACTCCAGCATGCACAGGGAGAACATAAAAACTTAACGAGAGAGGCACCTGTCTGACAGGGATTTCTAACCAGGAACCTCCTCGCTTTGAGGCAGCAGTGCTAACCACTGCACCACCTTGCAGCCCCATAGTTATTGTTAACTAGTGGATATGAAACGTGATAAAAAAGTTTACTCTGCAGCCGGCAATACTGTTCACTAAGGCAGCGTGAAAGACTGTGACAGACCAGTAAGAAAATGCAACAAGTCTAACAAACCTGTTCCAGCATGAAATGAATAAGTGATACGACTAAAGCTCTGAAAAGCGCTGTGTCTTATAATGACACGAGCTATGAGACTGACAGCATGTTTCTCTTGTTCAAACTGAGCTGATGAGACCGACAGCGGCTATCAGAGCTCAACACCTGCTCACATTCTGTAGCTGTGCGATGAAACCCATTATATAAATTGGACTTCACTCAGTGTCATTTGGATAGAGTCAAAGCAGGAGCAGAGATTTTACCTGTGAAGGTATGTGTGCACTGACTGATTAGTACAAGAAAGAAAGAAGCACAACGTCCGTCAACACAAAAGTCTGCTCAGTTCCAACTTTCTTACTTTGAGTACTGTGCTGTCTGAAGGAAGATGAATGGATGTGTGTTTGTGCTCTCTATCTGAATGAAGACACACGTCATGGATGTGTTTAAAGCTTTGTGGGCAAAGTTTTGTCTATCCGATTCAAATCAGTCAGATCGAGGATTCAAGCTTCACTGATTACATGGACGCTAAATAAAGTGATGTGTTTATGACGTGCTTGTTCATGCATCAAGCATTTAGTGAGAATAAAACCATTTTGAAATGAGCAGAGCTGTTCTGCCCCAAAGAGCAGAAAAAAGAAGGTTTCACTTTCTGTAAACATAAATACAAGATTCTCTAACTTGTGCGGATGTGATCTCTGTTCTTTGGTATGTCAGGTACTCATTTCTGTCACTGAGCTTTTTACTCCAAAATAAAGAAACTTTTATTTTCTCTGGAGCGAAATTCATTTCAGGCAGAAGTCAAGCCCTGTTATTATTATTATTATTATGTTGTGTTTAATCCTCTGTTATTATTTTCGGTCTGGTTTATGGTGAGCATGCTGGAGTCATCGTGCAGATTGACTCCGCCTGTGTTGTACACAAACATTGTCGCTCCAATCTCCAGATGTTGCTCCTCTGCTCCCACCCTTGATGTGCGCCAGAGGTTTCAATCGCCTTCTCTCTCGTATCTGTGACTTTGAATTTGTATTATTTTATTTGATGTTTTTCTTTCTTCTTCTCTTCCGTATTAAGCTGAACGCTCAGCAGTACATAACACTCCTGTGATCGATAAACACGGGGAGAGCAAAGGTCTGCAGGAGGACCTTCAGACTTGAACAGTTTATTGGAGAGAGGGGCAGACATGCACAGAGGGAATATCTTTACCCCAACCAGAGAGAAATGATCCAATCAAGTGTGTACATGGATATTGATCAGAATAAAAACAGCATACTCTACCCCTCTCGTTGAGAATTACATTTCTTTGTGAATTTGTCTGATCGCATTAGTTGCTTCTGATTGACGTGTTTACATGAAGCATTTTTATTCTGATCAGGTTTATATTCAGATTATTTGTGTTCATGTATTTAAAGAACATTAAAAGGGGAATTCCTGTACCTTTAAAGCTTGGCCCATTTGTTTCCATATTCAGGGTTTAGAGGACTCAGGCACCCTTAAAAATATTTCTCTGAAAACAGAGCTACCTGATAAATCATTATTTTTAAAGGTCACCAGACTCCATTGACAAAAACATTTATCTAACCCTGCAGGACTGATGTCCACCATGACTTTATGAACTTTGTGTAGCACATAATAACGCTGTGGGCTCAGTGGTAGAGTCGGTCATCTCTGTCAACCTGAAGGTCAGGGGTTTTGATCCCCAGCTCCTGCAGCAACATGTCAGATGTGATTCAGCGGCGGTGTATAAATGTGTATGGATGGATTAATTACTTCTGATGGTCTCTTCACATGGCAGTCTCTACCATCAGTGTGTTAATGTGTAGGTGTGACCTGCGGTGTAAAAGCACTTTGAGTAGTCAGAAGAATAGAAAAGTGCTATACAAGCTCAAGTCCATTTAGCATGAATAAATACCAAATCCCGGCAGAGGTAGAACTCCTGTGCTCTTTTGGGTAAAATTAAGGTTTTGTCAAAGTACTCTTTTGGAACAAAGAGCTCAATTAAAACTGTTAAAGCCTCCATCTCTTTATGGATCCTTCTTGTAATGGTGTCAGACACTTTAAATAACAATTTAGGCCCGTTAGGGACAAAACAAGAACTTTAAGTGGACATGCTTTGGTTGAAAACTTTTCTGACATCTTCTGTATCTTTTGAAACAGGCAAACAGACTTAAGAAATAAATACATATTCATGAATGGATTTAAACAAACATGAATATGTAAGATGCGTGTAAAGATGTTAATCTTGACATTTTGAGGGAATGTATTAATGACTTGGCCGCACTTTGTTAAGTCTGTAGGTGTAAGCATGTAATCTGAAGCAGCAGCTGGTAACCCTGTGAAAAAAGAAGGTAAAAAAACAAAGTCATGCTGGCGTCACTACTGCTGGCCTGGAGTCTGTGTTAATTTCATGCCAGGCCTCCTGCTGTGTTTCAAAACAAGCCGAGACACAACTCGTCCATTACACTTTAAGAACCCAGCAGGAGGAAGTCAAATCTCTCAGGCGTGGCCCGGCCATGTGACATGCACTCTGTGGGTACGTGAAGTGTTTGAGTAACCTTTGCCTCTGCTATAAGTCCAAACCTTTTCTTTTTTTTTTTAACAGAGAGGAAACCAGATTGGAGAACACTTGGGGAAGGATGCACCGTCTCTCACTGAGCTCCGTCTGATTAAAGCTGCATGCTGTGAGGTAAAGCAGCACAAGGTTGGATCAAAGTAGAGAAATTAAAGATCTCAGTAGAAACGACTCTGGAGGAGATGCAGGGCCGATGCCAATGTTTAAAAAAACAATTTGGCCGATTGCTGATACCAATGTTTGTTATATGACTTCTTTTGGTGTAAACCTCCCACAATGCCACCTCGTTCTGTCATATTCGACAATTAAACAAATCAGAGATTGTTCAACAGGTGACTTCATCTGCCACATTATTGATCGATGTTTGTGTACAGGGTCGATATTGGCTGATAGCGATGTTGAAAACATGGAAATGTGCTCCCAAAATAAACGTCTGGAATTTGTTTCCAATTATAAAGTAAACATGAACAGAAAATAGCAAGCCAGGGGGGTGACAAAAATCAACAGAGGGATAGGCTTATGTTGAGTACATATTGTTTTTGTTTATAATAAATATCCTTTGTTTTGCTTTGGGACTGTTTTCTGACCCAGGACCAGCAGAAACACATTGTGTGTTCTCTTCAGTTGATTTGATGTTCTCGTAACTCAAGTTGCTGCCATGCATTCCATCCACAGAGCACTTTGTTGGATGCAACAGTGGGATTTGTAGTTTGTTCAACAGGTGACTTCATCATGCCACATTATTCACTGATGTCTGTCTACAGGGCCGATATCGAGTCATAGCGATGTTGTACCGATGCATTGGTGCATCCCTGTTCAACAGGTGACATCATCATCTGCCCAATTCAAAAACTCTTCTCTGAACCAGTAGTCAGGCAAACTACATGTCAGCATTGAATTGATTTGGCACAACAAATAAAGATGGGGCAGCTGTGGCTCAGTTGGTAGAGTCAGAATCTTTTAAAGAATATGAAGCTGCCTGTATTGATACAGGAGGTCAGAAGATCTTTACACCTCTAGCTATTAACGATAAAGATTAGATTTGATCAATTTTCAGGCTTTTCGAAAAACCAGAATCAGACTGTGACCTGTTGCTGTGAAAAAATGAAGAAAACACAGAAACTTGGGGAGAGAGAGCTGTGTGTGTACTCACTGCTCCAGGAGGGCTGCCAGGTCTCTGGATGGTGGCCAGAGATGCTCAAACAAATCTTCTTCCCAACTTCGAATCTGCCGTTGGGCTAGCAGGAGAGCAAAAAACAAAGAAGGAAGAAGTGAGCGTGTGGGCGAAGATAATTATATGGAACATTAAGTGTTAAAAAATTGAGACGAGCAGACTTGATATGAAGCTTGAAGCGGCTGAGAGTTTGGAAAATGAAGGCAGCTATTCTGAGCTTTCAAACACAGAATGCAAATGTAAAAAAAAAAAAAAAAGACAAAAAATATCTGCACACAATAATGAAGTATTGAGAGTACTGTCTTTTATCAGCCTGTCATTAGCGAAAGTGTCACACAGCTGTCTAAATATAATAAGACGGTCTGATAAAAGCAGTGAAATCCTGTGTGACAGCGTGCTGATGGCTCGGGCTTTGATCTGACGACTGTCACGTCACAAGCAGTGAAGGGTTCGATGACGGGCCGTCCATTTTTCTACACTCTTTGATCATCTGATTTGACATCTTTCTGTTCTGCTTCAGCCGGAGATCAATCACACCAGTTTGAGACGTGGCCGTGAGCTCGTCGTCTTACTGTGAGGAGGATGATGCTGGGGGGCTTCATGGGGTACTCTGGGGGGGAGGACGATCCTGCCGTGGTAAACCCCGCCGTCGAAGTCTGAATCTGGGGGTCCGCGTACGGAGAAGTGCCATTCAAAGAGGTTATCCTGCAGAAAAGAGAAATACATCGAGTTAAATAACAGACATGTTGTTAAGCAGTGACTTCTCCGTTTAATCTGACGAAACAATAACTCAGATATATGAGTCCTGTGGGGTATGAAGCCTTACAGATGGGTCCTGTGATCATTTTTTTTTAAATGGGACCAGGAGACTCGATAGCAGTATTGACTCAAACATGATCCCTAAAGTTGATGGAAAAACAGCCCTAGGTTTACATGTATTTTGTATTTTCAGAGTCTTACAATTAACCAAAAAGGTCTTTATTGTTGCCATTCACTAAATCATTTGGACATTTTGGCCTGCAGGTTGCAAACAAACAAGCACTTTGCCTCACTTAACTGTGGAAGATTGTGCGGAAGTATTTAAAGTTTTATCCCGGTTGGCCAGCAAGAGAAGCTGGCTCAATTTCCAGATCTTGTTTAGTGCAGATAGCTCATTCTTTCATCTTGGCTAACTTAATGTCTCACTGTCTAGTGCACCACCATGTTTGCATTGTGTGGGACAAATACGCAGCTTCACCTAAAGCAGGGGTGTCCAAAGTGCGGCCCGAGGGCCATTTGCGACCCTTGAGGGGATTTTTAGCGGCCCGTGACTTCAAATTAAGAATCTGAAGATTTTGGCCCGAGGCCTTGATTAAGATCGGCACATTTTCTTATTTTTCTCTTTCATGTTAACAAGGGCTGAACAATATTCCTAAAATAGAAAATGTTCATGACAATGTGTGTTGTTGTTTTTTTAAATCTACAGCTTTTACTATTTTCCAATTTTTTTTGTAAACTATGAAAAAGAACGTAAGCAAAGTTTTTGGAAACAAGCGGACTGTTGTTTAACCATTTAATGACCTGAGCTAAATGCAGAAAGCTTTTCCAAAGAAATGAACCACGTTACAGGCTTTATTCTGAGAAAAAAACACAAATAAAGTAGAGCGAAGAAATCAAAATATTTGATTTCCTTTTATTAAATGGTTTCGTTAGCGAGCCTTTTGAGTCTGATCCACAAAGCCTTACTATTTTTTCAACTATATTTTTAAAAACAAAACCTGTGGCCCGCGAGTGATTCTAACACGACAATTTTGGACCATAAGAAAAAAAGTTTGGACACCACTGACCTGAAGGATCATTTTCCTGAAACAGGCCAATAAGGGCGGGGCCATATCATCTGCTTATTTTAATAAAGTGACTTTTTTGTTATTGATCTTTAATTCACTAGTAAATACAGAAAATAAACACAGGAGGAAGAACACAGCCTCTGGGGCAGCCAGTCCTCACTGTGAGCACATCTGACATGCTCCCCCCGACACAAACCCTCTGAGGACGGCAGGACAGAACATCTCTGATCCAGAGAACTAGCAGCGTTGATATTGAGATTATCCCTCCAAAAAAATTTTTTTTATAAATGGCCAAGCTACAGAATTAAAACAAAGAGGAATAAAAACCAGGAATGGTCTCTTTCTTGTACTGATTTAACCAAAGATGCTCTGAATGGAGAAAGGTCTTGTGTTGATATTAGACTGAGATAATATAAAACATGTATGTATTTGTGTCCGTGGTGGGCTTACTTCCAGGGGCTGTGCGTGGTAGTGCTCTGTGGGGTCCCTCAGCTCAGCAGCCTCCTTCATCAGCCTCTTCACCGCTTCAGAGAAAAACAGACACACAAACACACAGAGGTTAGTGCATGTAAGGTGAAGCCCATCATTACAGCTCACAGAGTGTGTCTGCTGCAGTCCACCATCATCGTCCCTGTAAACTGCAGCAGCTCTACTGGCCGACATCTCGGATGTTTTCGATGCAGAGTCGCTGTTAACAGGACGTTAACAAAGACGGACAGACGAGGAGAGCGCGCGGAGGGACAGGACTCCATGTTCTGTCAGAGAACAAGTCTCACTGGTTCAGACAGCTGGGGTATAAAAAAAAAAGGCTGAAACAACAAAGCGACTTCATATGTGCAGTCCAGGGATTCAAATGACCTCGGGTATGTCTATGTTCCTCTACAGTTAAGAAAATCATAAGAAACATCAAGGCATGTATACATTATATCTACATGGCTCGCAGCGTTTTTCCTTTCTTTGGGATACAGCATGTCCTGAAACTAAATTTTAAACCTTCCCTGCACAAATTGTCTTCCACAGGTACAAAAAAAAAAAATGTAAGAGGCTCTACCCCTCCAAGCAGGCAGTCCGGGTTCAAATCCGGCCTGTGGCTCCTTTCCTGCATGTCATTCCTCTCTCTACACATGATTTCTGTCTCTATCCACAGTCCTATCTCTAAAATAAAGGCATTAAACCCCCCCAAAAAAACTATAAAAAACAGAGGCTGTATTATTCTACAACACTTGATATCAAAGTTTTGAAGCTTTAAAGCTCAAAACTGAGCTGAATTAAAGATACTTTTTTTAAAGAAGATTCACAGTTAATAGCAGAAGCTGTATGTTTTTTTGCTGCATAGAAACAGATGACCTTTCTGGAGGCAGAAAAAAAAAGTAGACAAGGATTTTATTTATTTTCTGTATTTGTGTTTTAAGGGTCAATCTGTACTTAAGGCTGTGTTTTCTTAGTTTGTGTGCAGATGTGAAAAGCTCTCAGCAACATCTGTTGGTTTTAACCCGTGTGTCATGACCCGGCCTGCAACAAACTCTGGTCTGATGGGTTAATCTGAACACACACACACACACACACACACACACACACACACACACACACTCATCAATCAGGGGCCGTCTGTTAGACAAGTCCAGCTGATGATAGTGAGGATGTTTGTAGGGGTTTACTCATCGCCCTGGCAGCAAAGGACACACACACATGCTCCACACGATGATGACCAGGCCGCAGGAGGAGAGTCCACCAGAGGCAAACCCCCGAGGTTAAATATCCCACCATGCCTCAACACAAGGTCATTAGTCAGCAACAGCAGGTGCTGATGTCACAGTATTAACAAAGTGCTCAGAGGAGGCATGCGGCTTTAAAACTACAAGGTCGTTTTTGGAGTTTTTCTCCTTCTACTTGCTGCTCCAGAGCTCAAAGTATCCGCTACAAGCCGCTGCACGAGGAAACACGACGGGCTGAAAATTGGAAAGTAATTGTGAAAAGGAAAGCGGAACTAAGAGGCATTCATGGAGGCAGGAATTGGTTTGGAAACCAATCGAGGGCAGACGGACAGACGGAGAGGGGTGTGGAGCTGGAAATGGAGACTGTGAAATGAAACACAGAGGAAGAGGAGGAAGGGCAGCAGAAGCAGGGATGGGTGGGAGGGCAAATAACAGGGATGAAGGCGAGGAGAGAGGAAGTGCAGGCAGGCTGCATGGGGGGGGGGGGGGGGGGGATGGTCTGACACCATGCAGCTCTCAGGGCACGTGTTGTGTGTGCTTGTGCCCGAGGACAGACACTCTTCAGTGAGGATGGGAACAAACTACTGTAATCACCACAGCAGACACACACAGAGAACAAGAGAAGAGTGTGTGTGTGTGTGTGTGTGTGTGTGTGTGTGTGTGTGTGTGTGTGTGTGTGCGCTTTTAAAGGCTTGACAACTCCTCGTGTTTGCAACAGAGATCGAAAGGTCATGTAGCGATCTAGCAGTCTTACTCAGGCTTAAATTGTTGAAGACAAGAGGGCAGAAGGGAAACTGATATATGCTGGGAGACATTCAGCTTCAGCCTATACAACAAACTCAACAGAACAAACAAAAAAACACCTCACATGTTTTGGCAGGTTTCAGGAGACTATTTCCCAGGATGCAAAAACTCTGAAATGTATTCAGAGTTGTTGTTTTCTTTTAAAGGAAAGGGGCCAAGAGAAAAACTCTCCCCACATTTGACAGCTGATACAGATGTCTGTTTCACAGAGTGATGACTAATACACACAACATGAGCAGAGCTATTTATATATCACAATCTGTGTCTCCAATATATCCAGTTTGATAAACTATGAGCAACACCACTGCTGATATTTTCACACAATCATGAAGAATGGCTACTAATGAACTTATTTAATCTGTGCACACTATACTTGGAAGTCCAGTTGGAAAGCTTCCACTTGTGCTGCCATCAGGATGTGACAGCTGGAAGAGACACAATCATCACATTTTGCACATTCCTCATTTAAACATGGAAAATGTGACACTTTACAGAGAACCACAGGTCTTTGTTCTGTCCTTTGAAATAAAAACATCAATAAACTATTTTTTTTCGTAAGGTAAAGCGGGGTACACACTACTAGATAATCAATGGGTTTATTATTATCTGATTTTCCAAAGATGATCTTGCCAGATGTTCCTGTGGTGTGAGGTGTGTTTAGAGTGATTTTGAACTCCCTGATCTGCTCAGAAGACAGTTGGAGCCACCTCAATATTGAACATGTTTAAGATTTATTTCTGATCGTAAATAAATGTTCAATATGTCATTCAGAAATCCGGTTGTGTCGTACACTCAAATGTCACTGCTGCAGTCAAATCAGATCTACAGAGGTGGAATTGTTTGCCACTATCTCTGGCGGGAAGGGTAGAGACTGTAAAAATTAACGTGCTACCCAGATATTTGTATTTATTTCAATGTCTCCCCATATTTCTCCCTAAGTCCTATTGTAAATCTATTAACGACATTATTCCTTCTTTTATTTGGGCTGGTAAGCGTGCGAGAACGGGTAAAATTTTACTCCAGAGGAGCAGGTCAGTAGGTGGGCTTGGGTTACCTAATTTTATCAGCTACTATTGGCCAGCCAATGTTCACAAAATTATACTTTGGTTTATCTCACCCCAGTGCAGCTGGTGCCGATTAGAGGCTGACTCCTGCTCCTCTTCTCTCCCATCTCTGGTGTGTGGCACCCTTCCCCTCTCTCCCTCTAGCTGCACGTCTAATACTGTGGTAATAGGCACACTTAAAATATGGTCACAAATTAGACGACGCTTTGGGTGGCTCTCCCTCCCTAAAGCGACGCCCATCTGTAATAATCACCTTTTCATACCAGCTAGGATTGACCCACGATTTGCATCTTTGGAGAGGAATGGCCTGCGCTGTCTGGGTGACTTATACGTTAATGATGGTTTTTTTCTGCATTCCATTTAAATGGCTCAGACTTTATTTCGATATTTTCAGTTCCGTGATTTTGCTAGGACCCACTCACCGGCATTTCCTCATGTTCCAAACCCCAGTGGCATTGATTTGGCACTCAAGGCAAGAATCTTACCCAAAGGTCAGGTTTCCTTCCTTTCTGACCTCCTGTTCACAACTGACGAGTCCGCGGTAAAAAAGATCAAGGCTGATTGGGAAAGCGAATTACAAACCAACCTTTCTAAGAATTTCTGGGAAAAGGCGCTTGGGGCTGTTAATTCTTCTAGCTGCGTTAGGCTGTCTCTTACCCAGTTTAGAGTGCTCCACAGACTTCATTACAGCAAATATAAACTCTCCAGAATATTTCCGGATACAATTGATGAAACTTGTGGTAGATGCTCTCAGGCTCCTTGCAACCTGACACACACGTTTTGGTCCTGTTCTAAATTAGTTAATTATTGGCAGTCCTTCTTTAAGTCCATCTCCGACATTTTAGGTATAAACATCAATCCATCCCCACATATAGCTATTTTCGGTAGGTCTCCTGACGATCTTGCCACCTCGACCACTCAGGACAATGTTATTGCGTTTGCCTCTTTAATTGCCCGCAGGAAAATCCTTCTCTTATGGAAATCTTCACAACCTCCCTCCTTCAAAGCATGGCTGCACAATGTCTTATTTCTCCTTAAGTTGGAGAAAATTTAATTCTCTCTTAGAGGGTGCTCTGATAGGTTTTACCCTCACTGGAGACCTCTGCTTCAATATTTTGAGAAACTCTCACCTGATGAGGTATTGTAGTAGTACACCTTCACCTGCTGATACTGATCCTGTCCTCACGTGCCAATCAGGAAGCAAGCTGACAGAAGAAGGAAGCACAACAAGCCTAACCATGGCAACTATCTTATCGTTGTCCAAAGAATTTATATGATATCTTATCGTTATGTAGCTGACGTTTATTCTGCTGTGGCATGCTAACGGATACTGAATGATCAGCAGCAACACTACTCAAAAGATGAATAAAATCAAATAAAAACCTCAGAGTGATAAAAAGAACCTGCTTTGGCATCACAGCATGTACCACTAAAGTTATGAGTTTGATTCTGGCTTCAAGAGTCTTTTCTGTTCCCACCACACAAATAAATGCTTCCACCTTCAACAATGACGATCTGTTGAGTTTTCCTGAAAACGTTAAGCCTCAACAGAAACCCAAAACACCACAAAGCTGTTTCTCCATGTGGCACCGCACAGAGGAGCCAACAAATTAAATAACAGACAGGAGGCTTAACTGTGCAGTGATCTGTGAACAGATGAACAGGCCTCTGCAGCTTCACAGTGCGAGAGCTCCATCCGTCACCAGGAGCTGAAAACGTTTCAGATTCACTAAAAGCTGAGCAGGCTGAAGGCGAGGCGGCCTCGTTGCTGAAAAGACTGACCCACAACTGGAAGCTCACAACACGAGTGTGATCGGCCTGTGGCTCCTCAGGGTGGTGTGTTTACAAAGCTTTCAAATGATATTTGAAACTCATTTAAGACTTCACAATGACTGACTTTAGTTTTTCCCTTCAGGAACAGTTTAGTAAGCTCTTAATTGTACCACAACAACATGCAGTTTTTAAAAGACTGGAAGATATTCAGTTATTAAGGAAATATAAAAATAAACATTGGCCTTTTTTTCATAAATGCCACAAAGAAAGATTTTTAGAAAATCTTAACAGATGTTGAAAATGTGAGAGAG